ATATATATATATTTATATTTATATTTATATTTTACTCGTTTGAATGAACAGTGAAAGTGCATCATTATTTGTGTGTAGGAAAGCTTATTTTGTATATAATATTTTTCTTTTTTTTTTTCGTTCGTTTTTATTTGAATATAGATAGGTGTGATTATTATTGTATAAGTAAATGCGCATGACTTTGTTTTGTTAGTAGACTTGAAGCTGTCGAAAAATATGCTTCTGTAGAATGAGTAGTAAAAAACAGAAGCATTCGTTTTGTTCCGTTATTTATTTGTGAAGATATGGATTTCATCTCGGTTATTTGTTTTATTTTATTTTATTTTTCTGTAGGTTAATCTTTAAAGAAAACTGTATTTGTTGAATAGGAAATTACTTGCTTGTTCTTGTTTTACACGTTATTATATCGTCTAGGCATGCGCATATATGTACAATCTTTATTAGTTTATCTTTTGATTTTCTTTTTTTCTTTTCTTTTTTTTTCATCTTTATTTATCCTAATAAAGCAAACATGTACCTCATTTGATTATCTCAAATTATCCGAGAAATAAATTTTATTAAGTCGTATGATTAATGTGATGATTATTCAAAGTTTATTTTTATAAAAGATTAATGCATGAATTTTTATAATTAAACATTTCTATTTGAAGTAAAAATAAATATTCATTTCCTTTCTCATATATAGTTAACGCACGTACGAACGGCAAAATGAATTAGATCATACTACGTCTATTAGAAGAATGTGTACCCATATGTAACTCTTGATAGAACTATTGGTTGCTTTTTTTGTGTGTGTGTTGATAGAATACATTTGGATGGAACGACACAAGGAAGAAGAAGAAAAAAAAGTTCACCGCATTAACGAGAATATAAAAAGAAGAAGAAGCTGAATAAAGTATTGAGAGTTTTTTTTTTGATTGTGAATAGAAGTATGTAAATGTATGTGGAAAAAAAAAGAAAAAGTAAGTGTCAGATGAGGCTGAAGGTTAAAATTGTTGAAACGTTTGAATCAAATACTTATGCGTACTTCTATTATTTCTAGTTAATGTAAATATAATAGAATTAGAAGTAGATTTTCTATTTAAAATAGCGAATATATAAGTAGTTACATTCATCTTAATAATAAGTAAGAAAAAGAAAAAGCTAATGATTGATGATTGACAAGTAAGGAATTGCTGAGACTGCTCTATTACTTATTGACAATCTGCCTAATTATTGTTTCATGTTCTTGCTTTTATCGATGTTGAACAAAAGAAAACGGGTGAATGATGGCGAGACGAATGATGTTCCATTCTCATCCTATCTTATTTCCTTTAATTTTTTTTATAGATAGCCGTCGATATGACACATTTTTTATGATCAACACCAACTGTTAAGAAGATTTTCTATTACGTATGCTATAGATTATATTAGCTAAGGAGATGTATAAGATTAAATTTTTCATTTTATTCAATAGTCATATCAATAACAATGTTTTGTCCGCAATACAAGACATATGAATAGTCCTATGTTTTATCAATCTCGTTAAGAATGTATTTTGTACAGCAAAACAAGACTGTTATCATTAGAGTCATAATGAATACATGTCTTTTGTATGTACAACTGCTAGAATGCAATATTAGACGAGTTCTAATTTTCCTCTGATGTTAACTAATGATTTGACGATATTCAATGATAGAAAAACAAATAGTTAGAAACCTTGAGGAGTGTTGGCCTTTTTTTCTTCTTCTACTATGTACATATGGCCTTGGTCGTTATCATGCTAACCAGTTATTAATTTATGTAAAACGAATGTTTGTTTATTCGCCATTGTGTGTATATGTCTTTTTTGCTAAACATCAACCGAGAAGTTATGTTGTTAGACTTATTTAATCAATTATCAATTTTCTCTTTGTATTCGTCAATATATATATATATACAGATGAATAGATAGATAGATGGATAGATAGGTAAATTATCATTCAAATATTGTAGATACAGTTTCATCTGTTTTGTTGAATACAAATCAGTTGGTTACGATTTATAAATATCAATGTCACATGTGTGTGTGTATGGCTGTTTTAGTCGATGAATGGAACGGATAGGAGAAGAACGCATTACGTCACAATTGATATGATCTATGCCTAGTTATATCGCATGCACTAACATCGTCACCCGTTGTGAATACGATCATTCCCTATGGAGAACTATTGAATTTGTTTGAAGTGCATGCGATCGTAAAAAGAAAAATTGAGCAACAGATGAAAAAGATTGATTTCAAAAATTAGAAGAGTTTTCCTGCGTTTTTTCTTTGCGTAATGTATAACGGTGTTGCTGATTACGTCTGTGCATGTGTGTTTCTATCAATTGTAGAATAATCTCTTTTTTCCCTTCTCTGTTTCTCTCTTGCTCCCCCTCTTTTTTTTCCTTCAATAACATTCAACCATCATCATATTGTATTGCGCAATTGGAAGCGAAGTGTTTTACATTATCCTTTCAGCTATGTTGAGTATCAGAACACTAACTATATTGAAGAAAAAATAAATAAATATATACTCTCTAATTTGTTTAAAATATTTTCTTTTCAGATAAAAATCAATATATCATTATGATTTATAAAACTCCATATCCATCTCTTATTTCATTTCTTATTCTAATGATTGGATGTATTCTTTTTACAATGTCAACAATATATACTTTATATAAAGTTCAATATAGTGACAAATGGAAATGTAGTCAATGGTAAGTTAATATTAAAGACGAAAAAAAAATTGATTGATATTGTGTTCTTTTTTTAAGTTTACAAATTAGTCGACTTATTATTGGTTGTGGTGTTACAATAACATTACTTTTTGGTTTATGCTCAGTGTTCTTAGCAAGTATATTTAGTGGAAAATCGACTAAAAAAAATTTTTGGAGTTATAGAAAAAATATTTGTGCTAGAATTTTAAATGGTTTTGTAAGTTCGATATAAATATTATCAATAGAATTTTATTTCAAATATATATATTTAGTTTTTAATTATTACATTTCTATTAACAATTTCATGGTTCGGAATTGTTTGTCTTACATTTATTCCATTCTATGGACTTTTTTATGTTTATTTTCTCGTATGTAATAATCGATATGGTACAGCGAGTGGTAGTTTTGTAAACAGTAAGATTATAAAATATTTAACAATTCATTATTGTTGAAATATTGTTTATATAGTTCTTAATGAAATGAATCAATATGCACATCGATTCGATGAAAAACCACAGAATTTTAAACTTGCTGATGTTTGTCAACCAGTATGTATTAATGAATGATTGATTTACAACAAACTCATGAATATTTTTAAATCATAGACTCAGGCGATAGATAATCCTAGAGCGATAATTCAAGATTTGTACTACTTTTCAGAGAATAATTCCCTAATGATAAAATATGAATGACAATAAAATCAAATATAGGATAGTTAAAATATCGTAAAAATGCTAAGTATTAATTCTCATGAGTCATTTAGTAGTTTTATGATGCAATAATCACAACTGTTACGATGTAAATATCTGTTATGTTTACTTTTTTAGTCATATCACGATTACTTCAGTTTAAGTATTGTCACAACAGCTTCCTCAATCTTGGTTATCATTAGTTTGGTATGATGATGATGATAATAATCATAATAAAAATAAAAAAACATATGTATACATTATTAATTACAATTATTTTGTTTTTAGATATTTTTGATGATTGCTCAAGGTGCTAATCATGCACATATTCATAATGAGAGAAGCCATTATGAATTGACACACCAGAGTGATCAAGATATTGAAGATACAAAAATGTAAAATAAATATAGAAATACAATATTTACTGTTTAGAACAGTTATTCGATGTTGTTCTTCTTGTATATGTATTTATCTTTATATTACAACCAAATCGATTCAGTCAAGTCAATTGCATTTATAACAGAACAAAAACGATTTATTACTATATAGTTATGTCGCTGTTTTTTCTTCTTCAAATATCAATCTATATATATATATGTGTTTTTTTTCTGTTTAAAAAAAGTCTACTATCACAAACATACAAAATAAATAATTTTCATAGATTATTATTTAACGATATTGATTATAACGAGGAGGTCTAGCTTGAGGGTAACGTTGTCTTGTTCTTGTTCGTCCTCGCTGCGCTCTTGCTGGTGGTAGTGCTGTCGCCAATCGTCCACGACCCCGTTTATTTAAATGTTCTGTAGTAGGACCATAAAGTGGAATCACACTTTGTTGTGTTAATTGTACTCCATAAGGAGAATTATATGAGTCAGGAAATCGAACAGTCCAATGATGTGTACGTGCATCACGTTCTAATATAGCAAAATTACAATAATCAACTCTTAAAGCTTCTTGAATTAGATGTTCGGGTTTTTCATGTCGCTGACGCATACCACGTAAGCCACGTGTTACAGCTTCAATCGAACCTCCATGTCCTGATAATAAAACTGTACCACCTGTACGTTTATGTGCTCGAATTATTTCACGAACAAGTGTACGAGACCGCTTATAATAAAGTCGTTCATCTTCACTTTCATCAACACCACCATACATTGGTGCATATCCGGCATTTATATTAAACCTTCTATCTGCAGCTAAATATTCAGGTGGTATAAATTTTAATGGTTTGCCATGATACCAAGCAGGACATTCAAATAGACCTTAAAAAATAAATATAATCAAATATTCATTCTATAGATTTAATTATATGTTTATATACCAGGTTCGATATTTATCGGTACGGCTTTTCGTCCTTGACTTTCAAGGATTCCAGTTGCTGTTTGAACGGATCGATAAGCAGGTGATGAATAACAATAATCAATTGGATAGCCAAGATGAAGTAATTTTTTACCAACATGTGCACTTTGATTTTCACCTTCAACAGTTAATGGTGAATCATAAGTCCAATCACGAAAATGTGGTCGTTCTGCTAAATGTGATATTCGTGGATCATAACTTCCATTTTGTTGTACTTTACTTAACCATTGTTTTCCAATTGCAAAATCAGCACGTTCACCATGGCGTGTAATAATAATACGTAAATTATCGCTCTCACCTCCACCAAGCATACGCCTCATAAAAGACATCCTATTCGTATGGGATTGTTACAGTGTAAAATAACAGGTAACGGTAAGACGAAATAGAAAGACAATGGACTATTGTAATTCAATATAGATAGTTGATCAAGGTTTTATACTCATTTTCATCTATTCACCATACATTGTGCAGTCTATGTGAAAGTACGCAGCTATTCAAGCAGAACTTTGAAGAAGAAAAAAAAAGATATGATTATAATCGACCATGAATAATAAAAATCTGTAATAAGTTTTACCTTCATTTGTATATTTGTTTGACTCATACGTAATTTATCATATTAGTAGACAGTACAGGAAGAAACGATATGAATACAGAAAACAACCAATACAAATAGTGTATTTTTTCGTTTATATTTGTCAGGTTTTGTTTTGACGTGTTAGTTATTAATCGATAAGATATTTGGGGTTATATACCTATTATTTTGTTTTGTATTTGAATGAACATCCCATGATTTGTAAGTGAATCATCGATGTTGTTGATATTGTCAGACAATAATTACGGAGCTTGAAATAAGAGCAAACATGATATAAAAGCGGAACGACAAGCGGTAAAAAGATTTTTCTAGAGCAATAACAAATAATTTATTTATAAATTATGTAAAAAAAACACATATATGAATATTTCTCTATCTTGATTTTATTAAGTGAATTTAATAATTCCTAGTCATTAAAATTGTAATTATTTTTTTCTTAATAGAAAGTTATTATGAATTGTAATCAACATATTGATAATTAACAGTGTCACAGTATATGTTGTATTGATTAGTCAAAGAGTAAGTTTATACTGACATCAATCGATTTTATTTTCTGACAGAAATATCACTTTTTTTCTGGTTAGCGCAATATATTTTTGTTATACATTCAATGTCACACACATCAACAACTATTAAAACGTCGTATATAATGACCGATATTTTTTTATCTGAAATAGTATTTAAATGTAATAAACGATAGTTATGTGAATTGTCAAATTTGATTAATATGATCGAATGTTTTCGTTTGTACTATTTGAATAGATATATTATCGTTATTTTATAAATAGTGTCGATGAATATTTCACATTCTTGTTTAACATATCGTTATTCAGTTTCTAAAAGAAATTTATTTTATATTAGATGAATATGAAACTATTATTCTTTTGATTTATTTATAAAACTTTCAAAACCAATCAATCACTCGTTGTGATTTCAACGGAAGTATCGATTCTATTTATAGTAAAATATTTATATTTATCAATCGTTAAATAGTACTTATATTATAACTAAGCAAATGAATTTGTATAAGAATTAAATCGATAAAGTCATATACAAAAATATTTTATTCTATTGTCATATTATGCTTATTGTTCTTTGATGTCTCAATGATATGAAAATAAAATTAGGATTATATCAATCTCTGATGTGTAATAACGGAATATATAAAGAATAGAATTATAAAATTTGATGCATTTTATTGGTTTTAGATAAAACACTCATTTGCATCAGATATAAAACAAAAAAAAACTAAAACGAGAGGATAAAAGAGAAGGGAAAGCCGTTAAGTTAAAAAACAATAGAAGCAGCAGATACACATATTAACAAACAAAAACAAGTTGAGTTCGCTCTACAAATGGCTTTCTATCGGCGATAACCAGATGATACTGTTTTAGTATATGTATTTCTTGTTGGTTCTGGTTGAAATACACGAGTAAATGAAGCCATTGGTTGTTGTGTATTGTATGATTGACCATATTGTTGTGTTGGGACTGATTTTACAACTGTTGGTGTCCATGTTGTTCGAATAAGAGGAGTTGGTTGTGGAGCTGATTCATAACCGTTTGATACTGTTGCTTGTTTAAAGTGACGTGGTGAAGTATGGAATAAACGAAAGTTTGCATGTCTTGGTGCAGTAACTTGAGTATATGATGATCCATATGGTGTTGATGAGCTAAATAAATCAAATATAATTTTTAGATGTCAAAAGAATTAAAATCTTTTTCTTTTTACCTTTCAGTACTAACAAATACTTTGGGTTCTTCGATTTGTGGTTGATATGTTGCTGGTTGTTCGTTACCATAAGTGGATTGAAATGATTTTGGTTGTTCCATAGCTGGTACTGTTGGTGTTGCTTCAATTCGATTACAGGTTTTACTTTCATGATCCCAATATGAACCTGGTGCACATGGTTGAACATAAAGTAATTCACCATTACATTGAATAAATGCTTGAGCACTGAATGCAAATGGATGATATTGATCTTTATCATTTGATGCAGCTAAACATGGATTTGGTATTGTGTCTATAATAAAACAAATAATTAATAGAATTGTTTTGAAAAAAAAAAGTAAAGAAAAAGAAACATACTTCGTCCGCAGCTTGTACCATATGATTGACGTCCATCACATACACAAACGAAATCTTGTGCATAATCGCTTGTTTTTAATGTATGACATTCGTTACCTTGACCGCATGGATCAGCAGCGCAACCTGATACGGCTGTTTCACAACGTTCACCAGTCCAAGCTCCAAGGCAAGTACATTGAAATGATGTTGGACTTGTTTGATGGCATTGACCACCATTCATACAAGGTTGATCACGATCGCAAATACTTTCAGTATTTGTTATTTTTTCACATTGATCAGCAGCACCATTATAGATAAGACCACTTGGACAATCCATAATTTCATAGGTAGCTTCATTTATACATGCAACATATTTTCCAGCATCTGATGGATGTGGAACATTTGTTCTTGGTGCTTTACCAACGCATGGTGATGCTAAATGAAAAACAATAATATATTATATTATAAGAATATAAGAGAAGAAAATGAATATACCTGGAAGTAATGGTTGACTAGGAATTTCACTTAAGATTAAACGTGGTTGTTGCATTGAACCATAACCAGCTGTGTAACGTTGTTCTTGTGGTACTAATCTAGTTTCACCAACTGTTAATATTCTTTCATCAGCTGAACCGTATTGACGTTTCTTACGATAGGAATCATTATCACTATCGTCGTAGTTATTACTTTTACCATATTTATTGCTGCTATATTTATCGTTACTACCATATTTATTGCTACCATATTTATCGTTACTGTATTTATCCTTTTTACCATACATTTTGAAGTTACCATTTCTAAAAAAAGTATTTTAAGTATGATATTTTGAAATTATTAATTACTAACTTGGCATAGTCTGAATTTTTTGAGTAACTGTTATCATTACCGTATGAACTAAAAAGAATAAAATAAAATAAAATAAAATAAAACTTCAAAATGATAAAATAAATCACATACGATTGTTTTTTTCCATAGTTGCTTTTACCGTGGTGTTTATGACCTCTGCCATAACCTCTGTCGTAATCATTGCCATAAGGTTTACCACTAATATAGGAAAAAGAAAATTAATAGACTGTATAAAGATGAATCAATAAAACTTACTAAGCATTGAAATCTTCAAAACCACCACCATAGAAATCATCACCGAAACTATAACAAACAATATAGATTAATAAAATCAGATAGGATAAAAACTGTTTCTTGTTGATTTCTTTTGTTACATTCAGATATCAACAAAAAAATGTTTTCACAATAATCTTACCCGAAGTCAAAACCAAATGGTTCTTCAAGGAAATCACCGCCAAATCCTCCATCAAAGCCAAATCCGTCATCAAATAATGGATCAAAGCCTAAACCACCGAATTCACCAATTCCACCGAATTCTCCACCGAATCCGCCAATTCCACCGAGTCCACCGAATTCTCCACCGAATCCTCCACCGAGTCCACCGAATTCTCCACCAAATGGTCCACCGAATCCGCCAATTCCACCGAGTCCACCAAATTCTCCACCGAATCCGCCGAGTCCACCGAATTCTCCACCGAATCCACCGAATTCTCCACCAAATCCGCCACCACGTCGTCCACCGTGTCCGCCACCGCGTCCGCCACCGTATCCGCCACCTTGTCCGCCACCGTATCCACCACCTTGTCCGCCACCGTATCC